CATGCTGTGCCCACCCTTTCTTTGCCCACTCTGCCAGGCAAGGTGCTTCCCTGCCCAGCCCTCTTGTGTGGTTTGGCCAGAGCCCAAGGACAAGAGTCACCTGCAGCTGGAGTCTCCCTCCCTGCTGCTGAGCAGGCAGATGCAGGAGGAGCTGGGAGGGCAGCACCACACAGAAGAGGCCTCTGGCAGCTGGCCAGGCGGGAGCCCTTCTCTGGATCAGGGGCTAAAGGAGAGGCTGGGACTTTGAACAACGTAGAGACCAAAGGGCTTAGGGAAGCTGAGCACAAGCCATTCTCTTGCTCAGGGCAGACCCAGGGTGGGGGGACTCTCCCTCCCCCAAGAGAGGGAGGGTAGGACCTCAACAAAGCCAGCCTTGCTGGGATAGTAACACTGTGTGTGTCAGCTACTGTGCTGAGCACTTTACATATATTATCTTATTTAATCCTATGAGGACCCCCACGAGGTAGGAATTATTATAATCCCCACTTTACAGATGAGGAAACTGAGATACACAGAGGTCACACGGCTGGCAAGCAGTAGAGCCAGGATTTTGAATGCTTGCACTCTGATGCTGAGCTGAGCAGTCTTCCTGACAAAGTAAAATGTAGTGTAGCTCACCTACTCGGGATCTCTCGACACTGTCAGTATGTATGGGGGTGAGGGTTGTTCCCAGTGACTCCTCCCACCCTCAGCGCGCCTGGAGCTCTGGGAAAGGCAGTCGGAGCTAGCTGTTGGAATGACAAAACACACTGAGGCAAGCCTGGGCTCAGCCCAAAGCCAACTCCCAGTCCAAGACTCAGTATTGGTCATCTAGCGCCTGGGGTGGTCAAGTCAGGAGCCTATGTTGCAGGCATGCCACTAACCAGCCACAGGACATGTCACCTTCCCTCTCTGAGCCTCAGTGTCCCCATCTGTCAATGAAGGAATCAGACCATCTCAGTCATTTTCAAACATTTTGAAATCCCATGCAACAATCCAATATATGAGACAGAAGCACCCCTGCCCCAGATCACTGTCCCCTTGGACTCCCCTGTGCTCCTCATGGAGTAAAAATTCCATGCAGATCAACCTAAAGGCTTTGGGGGATGCCACCATTCCAGGGACCCTAGCAGGTGTTTTTCTTTTTAGGAGAGGGGTGGTCAGGAGAGCTGTGAGAGTCAAAGGAGGAAATGCCATGTGGCTACCAGGAGTGTAGTCAGAGCTAGAAGATCCAGAGCAAATATTGGTTTTTCCTTTAATGCCCTCCTGGAGGAGCCATTAGTCCTGCCCACCTGCCCCTCCCTCTGGACAATCCCATCTGGCCCGAGAATCCTATCCAGGCAGGGTGGGAGTGTGAAATGTGGAGAGAAATTGAGTTGGAAGTCACCCAGCGGGCTTTCCTCTGAACCCTCAGTTCACTTTGAGGGGAGGTTGTGGGCTGCTCCCACACCCCTCTCCCCCACTGAAGATCCTGAGGCACCAGGCTGGTCTCTCTTCAGGGAGAAGAGTGAAGAGACAGGAATGGGGGTGCAGTGGGGGGAGGATTCCTCTCCAGAATTTTGAGAAACCATTAGCAGCGCGTAGAGCTGCTCTCCAAGGAGGAGGGAGATCCTGAGCAAGAAGTACAGGGTGGTCTATGGATCAGGGAGCTTTAGGGCAGGTCCCACTCCTCCTGATATGGGCTCCCTGCATACAAGAGACATGAAGCCAGGGAGCACCTTCTGAATTCTCTCTGTTCTGATGTAATAAAAGCTGGAATCCCTGCCTACAGCCACTGAGGTTTGAAAACTGAAAGCTGGTTTATCTCATTCCAGAATCAATGATCTCTCCTTTTCTCTCTTTCACACACACACAGAGACACACATGCGGTGACCCAGGTCAAGAGCTTAATGGGATTTCTGAACTTCAATCTCAGTTTCCAGGCCACCCCAGTCCCCCCAATCCAGTCTGCCCCCCAAAAGAGGCACGAGCCACAAGCAGCTATTTTCCAGCTGAGCCCATGACAAAGCCTGGGCCCAGCTGTCTCCAGCCTGGAGCCTCACCGGGCCCTCACACTTTATAGAAAGAGAAAGAAAAGGAAAGCCAGGAAGTACATGATTGCCCAATAGCTGTAACCTGGCAGCAGGCAACTGGGGACCGTGCCAGGTGTTAGCAGGAAAAACATACTCGGTCCTATTGATGAGGCCATAATCCATTCCTTTTCCCCAGCATCCACTCTCCTTCACCAATGAAATGACTTCTTGAATTTCAAACCAGCTACTGGCTGCAAAAGCAAACAGCCTGGGGAGGTAACTGCTGCCATAGCTGATAGGGCAAACCATGGCCACCCACGCAGGCACACACACATACATGCACATCTCATAACCAGCACCCAACTGGATTTGGCAAAACAATCCCTAAACCACCTGCCCTAAAAGGCTTGTCAAAATACAGAGTATTTAGGGCCTTCCCTGGCGGTCCAGTGATTCCACTGCAGGGGGCACAGGTTTGATCTGCATCCTGATCCCGCATGCCAAGCCTGCAGGGCGCAGCCGTCCCCCCAAATACAGATTATTTGGCCCCATCCTACACCTTCAGAATAAAATCCTCTGGGTGTGGAACTAGAGAAGAAATATTTTAAACAAGCACCCAGGTGATTCCTATGCCCATTAAACTCAAGTTTGGGGACCATTGTTAACTTTTGGCAAAACTGCTATCCTTTCGGGGCTGGCCTTTTCAAATATAAATACCAGTTCTCAAGGCGGGTTCTATTGTCAGCAACAATTTAAATTCATATTTGTATCTCATTCAGTCCTCATAGCAGCTTCTTCATTTTTGCAGAAGGGGAAACAGAGTACAGAGATAAAGTAAATTACACAAGGTCCCACAGATTACTACTACTGTACACACACACACCCCCAAATTAACAGGACACATACCTGAAAAGGCCCCAAACCCAAAGGTATCTTGGGGCACAGTGGATCTTTCACCAGAGTCTAGTTTCACATTTACCAGAATTTAAAACCCATCATAATGAAACTCTGACTCAGTCTTAGACCTGGAAAGGACCTAAATGTCAAACCCACCCGCGCCCCCCGGGAGGGGGTGATATCTCCACAGTATGCTGGACTGCCAGACTATTAGAACTGAATTGAGGAACTGGACACTTCATTCACTTTTTCATTCAGCTACACACATTTACTAACCCCTTGCTAAGATCAGGTGCCTTCTACTTCCTCTTCCCATCCCACTCTACTGGGTAGTCTGTTACAAGCAAAATTCCACTTAAGTCTCATCGTCTTTAGGAAGCCTTCTCATCTCAGGACACCTTTCGTCCTCTATGCACCCCGCCTCACTTATTTGGCAATCATCACTTGCTGACCGGAGTTGGTGGGGTTCTCAGGTCCACGACCATTGTCCCTACAACCATGGACAATTTCTACAGTGAACACTACCAGCACCCCATACACATACGCAACCTCAGCGCGGTAAAGACTGAATGCGGGCAAGTCCACCGAGCAAGGCACTAGCTCCCGGCCCACCCTCCATCACCCGCCGCCTGCGGCTAAGTCCCGAGCCTGGCCGGCTGGCGCCGCGAGAGGGAGCCGCACTCACCAGGCGCCCCGAGCTCTCCCGCGCCTTCTTCACCTTCCCGTAGGTCCCCTTGCCCAGGGTCTCCAGGAACTCGTAGCGGTGTCGCAGGTTGTGCTTGTGGTGGTGCCGCTTCACTGCCTGCTTCTTCATTAGGGGCTTGGGCGACTTGAGGAGCCCGTCGGCCAAAGGCCGAACGAGCTCCGCGGCCAGGGCAGCGGTGGCCGAGGAAGCCGGGCCGAGGCGCCGTGGGAAAGCCAAGGACTCCATGGCCAGCAGGTGAGCGAGGGCAGAGGAGGAATCGGCTGCGCGGAGAGAGCTAGAGCCCGGGTCGCCTGCCCACTCGCGGCGCGAGAATCCACAGCCGTACCAAAGCGCGCGACCAGGCGGCGAATTCCAAGTTGTTATAAACGCCCTGAACTAGAGGCTCTGGCCACACCCCCCGGCACCCATTGGCCTGATCGCCGGCTGCGCGTGACCAGGACCGCCAGCATTGGCTTGCCGGGTCCCTGGCTCCGCCTCCTCCCAGAGCGGCCGGGAAAGGTGTCAATGGAGCCCCGCCCACCTGGGCCCCTGAGGGGCAGGCAAGGGGAATACCCTACGCCGGGGTCGGCTGCGCGGGGCGGGGCGGAGATGTTGGGGGGTGTTGAGGGGGGTTGGGTGAGTGGCGGCGGGGGTTGATACCACTGGGGTCCAGAAATTTTCAGGGGCCCTGGAACAGCTCTTGCCCCTGAGAGGCTCTTGGTCCTGGTTGGAGGCACCTGTTGTCTTTCCATTGTGCTGTTCTCATTTAGCAAGGGGCAATCTGACAGTACTAGAGGTCACCAAAGTATTTCCCCATCCTGAGTAATTTGCTTCTCTCAAGTCAAAATCTGTAAAGTCACTTGACCACTTCTTTAAGACCATAAGGAGGAAGGAGGGATGGAATGGGATGGAGGCAGACTCTCAAGTTGGAGGGCTAGGGGAGAGCTGTTTCAGGGTTCTGAAGTCAACTGTCTTCAGTTGGATCAACCTTAATTGTATCCCAGAAATGCAGTTCTGGAAAGTTCTTATTTCTTCAGCAAATAAGGCTTCTAAATTTGAGTGTGTCCCTCAAGATGTGGTGGAATTTACAAAGCATTGGGAGGAGGTGGAGAGAAACAAAGGGAAACATTCATTCATTTAAAATATAGTACACTCCTACTATATAACTTGTGTCCCTAAACCTGTAAATAGCTGCCCACTCAAGTTGTCTTTTCTGTGATTTTGGAGCCAGGTAGGTCATGACATATGGCTTGGTTTTTAAGGCCTGGAGCAGAATCCCCAGGTCCAGAATCCCCATACTGAGTGTCATTTAGAGTGAAATGAGAATATCCACAGGCTCTCCTGCTTCATCTAGATGTGGAGTGAAATGGAGAGAAAGGAACATTTCCCCTTGAGTCTTCATGGTGGCTCAATCCTGTGCCCAAGGCCACACAACTGGTGAGAAACTGGCAGAACTGGGATTCAGAGGCCTCAGGAGGATGGTGCCTCCAGCTGTGTATTCAGGACATGCTGAAGATCAAGAAGGACTAGATCCCCAGTGACTGAAATTTATATTTAGTGTCTGCCCACTTTCCCACTTCCACTGATCCTTTCTATTGTGAGTTAGGGATGGAGAATGGGGCCATTGGCTTCCTTTATAGCTGGAGAGGATCCACTTATGCAGGAAACCAACACTGCTTCCCCTAATCTGGAGGATCACAGGAGGTGGTAGCCAGTTTGGCATTCTTCTCTCTGCCGGCCTCCCCTGGGTTATCTGTGAAAATAGAATGAGGCCCAGGTGAAAGTCCCCCCCCCCCCCCCCACGACGTGCTGTTACCTTTCCCCAATGAGATCTGCATCCATTCCTGGGGCCCAGGTAGCTGGGGCCATCTAGATAGATTAGGGCTCTCAAGAGGAAGCATGGGTAATATAAGAGCAAGCACAGGGCTGAGTGTTAGGAGCCCTGAGTTCTATTTCTGACTGACACCAACCATGTCTGTGGCCTTTTACCCCATCACTTAGTCATTCTATAAATCCTGGTGCCCACTAGGTGCTGGCCTATGGATATGATGGTGCCAGGGTGGACATGGTCTCTGAGAGTTCTCAGTCTAGTGAGAAATAAGCAAATCCTAGACAGAGGAAGATGTGTACACAATGGGGGAAGAACAGAATGCCCTTGGGGTATATAACAGGAGGGAGCCCCTAGCCCAGAGAGGAGGAGGTTGGTCTGGGGCAGTTTCCTGCAGACAGAGCCTTTTAAGCTGAGACCTGAAGGATGTGAGACAGTTAGCCAGATGAATCAATATTTTCTCATAAGTAAGATGAAAGAATCATACAGATGAACCTAAAATTCCCTTTCAAGCTTAATCAAGACTTCTATGAAATCTAGATTAATCTAGACCTAATCTAGATTCCAGGTATCCCTAACACTTAGCCCACTGCTAGGCACAAAAAAGGCACTCAGTAGATGCTTATGAACTAAAGGAATGCATGTGCAGGCTAAAGTGATTTCCCTCTGTTCCCAGCTAAACTGACTATTGCAGGGGTGGGGGTGTGGGGGGTTGGGGTAGATCTCCCGTACCTCTTGGAACTTCCCTGCCCTCACTTCAGATTCCTTTGATCAGAATGTGACTCCCCATTTAGGGGGCAAGCCATGATAGCCAAAGTCTGCAGAGAAAAGAGATCTCAGTGCCAGTCAAGATGCAGCCTGCTGGCCTCTAAGGAACTACAAGAGAGGGCTTTATTGATGAATGGACCTGGCTGCTGTCTGCCTACAGCAGACAGGCCAGGGAGGCAGACAAACAGACACAGAGCCGGGACAGCATACAACTCGGAAATGATCTTAACTGCTAAAACTCAATGCTCAGATTCCTTAAAGGGAGACCTGGTCTGTCTCAGAGTGAGAATGCCTGACAGAGAATCTGATTACGTCAGGGGATTTGGCTGCCGGCAGGTATTGGGGAATTCCTGGGTCATGTGCTCCGATGTGCCCAGGAATCTGGGCTGAGCTGAGCCATCTCAATCCTGCCTGCCCCACCAGCCAGTTGCGGGGTGTTGGGGGGAAGCCTACTATTGGTGATCACTGTGTGAGGGGCTCTGGGATTAACCATTTATTGAGCCTACTACGTGCCTCGCTGGGGAGACAGGAACAAATATCTGTGCCAGTCCTTGCACACTTCACAATCTGTGTGTGTCTGTGTGTGTCCAGACCAACAGAAGAGGATGTTAATGTGGCTCAGAGTAAGGACTGCTGCGATGTGTGAAGTGCAGGGTGCTCGTGGGAGGGCAGGTGAGGGATACCAAGGCCATGCTTTGGGGTATTTCTACTGAAAAAGAAATACATCTAAGATGACTCTTGAGGGGCAACTAAGAATTAGCTCCCTGCTCTCAGGAAGTTTACAGTTTAATAAGGGAAATAAGATAAAGTACCATCTAATCCAAAGCAGAAAGTGGGAAGGCTGGGGCTTCCCTGGTGGTGCAGTGGTTAGGGGTCCGCCTGCCGATGCAGGGGACACGGATTCGTGCCCTGGTCCGGGGGGATCCCACGTGTCGCGGAGCGGCTGGGCCCGTGAGCCATGGCCGCTGGGCCTGCACGTCCGGAGCCTGTGCTCTGCAACGGGGGAGGCCACGACGGGGAGAGGCCCGCGTACACAACACTGTAAGTCAACTATACTCCAATAAAAATTTTTAAAAAGTAAAATAAAAGCTAAGAAGAAGGTTAGATAGGTGGTTTGGTCAGTAGCACAAATTTAGGGCACAAGAGAGGCACTTACATTCTTGAAGGAACTTCCTTGGTGGCGCAGTGGTTAAGAATCCGCCTGCCAATGTAAGGGACACAGGTTTGAGCCCTGGTCCAGGAAGATCCCACATGCCGCGGAGCAACTAAGCCCGTGAGCCACAACTACTGAGCCTGTGCTCTAGAGCCCGTGAGCCACAACTACCGAATCCCACGCAATGAGAAGCCTGCGCACCGCAACGAAGAGTAGCTCCCCCCAACCCCCAGCTCGCCCCAACTAGAGAAAGCCCGTGCACAGCAATGAAGACCCAATACAGCCAAAATTAAATAAATAAATAAATTTATTTTAAAAAAATGCTTGAAGAAAATATGAAGGAAAAAGTTTTATGAGTGTTAACCAAAAAATAAGCAACTTCTTGCAACTACCCTATGTCTGGTCTCATACCATAAATTTCACATCCCCATATCTACACTGTTAATCCAGTCATTCCCTTGGAGAGATGAAAACAAACTATAATAAATTTAAACTATGTATGTATTAAAAAAAAAAAGACAGGTACAAAATGCCACGTGGGGCTGAAAGGATGGGTCTTATTCTGGCTCAGGGGTTTGAGGGAGGACCTCACAGTTGGACCTTGAAGGGAGGGTAAACTGTGATGAAAGACCTTCTGGGATGGGGTGGGGGTGCGGTAGGAGTGAGGGGAGATGCTGAGAGAGTAGTGGGGGCAGGAAAGTAGAGGGCCAGCTAAGCACTCTCTGGATCTGATGATCTGCAGGGGAACTCCCAGGCCCTAGAGCATCTCCTGCCTTGGGATTTATCTCAGTATAGATGCCTGGGCCCCTCTTTCCTTTTCTCTGGAAAAAGGGCTGCTGCAGGCTAAAGGGCTCAGCTTACCACCTCTTTGCCTGAGACCTCAACCATTATATTTCCCTTCCTCAGAGCTCTGAGCTACAGCCCTCAGTAACTGACACTCTCGGGTGGTGGACAATATGGCCTTGAAGGTGCTGACCTTTCTTTCTCAGGGGCTGGCAGAACTGCTTGGTTAGGAACCTACACGTTAGAAGTGGCTCTCCAAGATTGGGAGCCGGGCATCCGAAAACAGGACTGTGAATTCTGCCAAGTCTCTGGCAAATTGAGATGCTTGACTCAATGCTGCCCTCTGCTGACCGAACTAAGCCTAGCAAGTTTTATGGGATGCCCGATGCTGTGACCACTAGTGGAGGTCTGCTTAAGCAATTTGTTCGTTTAATGAGCAATTTGTTCATTCATTCATTCATTCATTCACTCATTCAACAAATATGTGCTGAGCAACTACAATAATAGGTATAATGTTATCCAACATTTATTGAGCCAGTCCTGGTTCTAAGCATCTTAGATATAGTGTCATGTCCAAGACCACAGAGTCCTAGCTAGGAGTAACACAGCTGGGAGGCAAACCCTGTCAGTCTTACATCACAACTCAAGTCACTAAGAATCACATTGTCTTGTGGTGCCCACATGGGCTTCGGAAACACAAGATGGAACTGGTGAGCCGCCTACAATATAAATTTAGTAAGCCTTATCAGGAGATTGGGGAATTTTGTGCTGCAGACACTGAAAACAGTCCCCAAGCTCTCAGTTACAGTGGGAAACTGAATGTTATTCACAGGCCAGGCCTGAGAGGTATGTGACCAAGGAGAAGCTAGC